CACACACACACACACACACACACACACACACACACACACACACACACCCCATCTAAACGTGTGCGTGTTTGTTGTTCAGTCATTCACTTGTTTTGATTCTTTGTGACCCCATGGGTCAAAACCCAATTTCTGCCAGAATTTTGTGCTTCTTTGCAGAACGTGCATCTTGCTCATTTTCCACAGAAACCCGACTGCCTTGTAACCTGCTCTGAAAGTAGGGTAGGAGCAGAGGGTAGGAGGGAGGCAGGGAGCAGGGGGTGTGAGCTTGTGTTCACAGGGTTTATTCATTTCTATGTAACATAATGTAATCTATAGACTGATGTAATAGCGTAGCCTCATTTGCTCAGTTTGCTTCCTGGGATGTCTAGTGTCTTGAGGGAAAGCATGTTGAAGGCAACCTGGGACTAGTATGAAATTCTGAAGATGAAAAGAAGGGAAGAAATGATGTTGGGGACGCTCCAGCTGCTTCGTTCTTCATGCCGCCGGGTTGCAGGACCTTGCTGGCCTTGGGAATCTGAGCATTGACCCTTCAATCAATCAGTTAATCAATGAGCATTTATGAAGTACCTTCTACGTGTCAGTCACCGTGCAAGTCCCCAAGTACACAGAGACAAAAAATGAGACGGGGAAGGTGGGGATTCAAGGACAGACCAGTGCTTGAGCTGGTGATTGTGGGCCTGAGCCAAGCTCTGCAGAGGACTTGGAGCTTGTAGTAGGGAAAGAAGCAGCAGAAGGACCCCAGCGGGGCAGAAGAAATCCACTGCGTCACGTGCCCCTGGGGAGGTTAGACTGCTCCCCATAGCCTGCACCGGGGCTGGGAGTCAATGACTGACTCCTATGACCTGGGAACCGGGTAAAGGAGATTAATCTGGATGCTCCAACCTTGTGAGAAGTCGAGAAAGTCAGGGAAAGTCAGGGTGAGCCTCCGGGAATAGGGGAGTGGGTTTGCAGCCAGAGTGGGGAGTGACTTTTGGAAACCAGCCTGGCAGTAGCTGAGAAGAGGCTTAGCCAGCGCAATGCCACGTTTGGGTGAGAATGTGGGCAAGGACTGAGCTCAGAGTGGGGCCCCCTCCCTCGGGTCTGAGATGGGAGGGGAGACTGGATCCCTGAAGCGCGCCTCGGGGGGATGTTAGCACCCGTGTTCTTGCTCCCTCTGCAAAGTAAATAGCGCTTTGTAAAAGCTAATCGATGCCAAGTGCCTGACAGGAGCTGGGCTCTAGTCACTCGGGAAAGCACGGCTGGGGGGCCTTGAGTATTAGAAAAGAGCCCCCCGCCCAAGCCCTTGAGGCTACCCTAGACCCTGAGGGGGCTTTGGCAGAGTGAACCAGAGCTTTAGATGTGGATGCCCTGTGGATTTCCATCCCTCATCCCCAAGAGAATGTTAACTCCTTGAGAAGCAGGGGTGGCTTCACTTCTGCCTCTGTGCCACCAGCACCTGGCATATTGTCAGCCTCATGCTAAGTGCTTAATAAATGTGTATGGAATTGATTTGAAAATGGAAAGAATGCCAGAGGGAGAAGCCGCCCCTGACGTGGTCCAGAGTAGGGAGATTCCTGTCTCCATCTACAAAGGCAGAAAAGTCTGCCTGCCCCTCACAGACAGGCAACCCTAATGCGGGGCATCTTCAGCCTGGCCTAGGGTCCCCAGTCAGAGGCTGCCGAGAGCTTTCACATGCAGGAGGTAGCGGGATCCATTCTGGGCCGGAGGGTGGGGTTGGAGCCTTCAGCAAAGGCTCTGGATCAGTCTTTGAAGATGCAACCAGAAGAAAACAAAGGTCTTCTGGGAGGCTGGGGGTGGGACTGGGACCAGTGGCTCTTGGATTGAACTTGGGTCAGTGGGTCCCTGGCACTGGACATTCAGGCTGAGAGAAAAGCAGAGATGGGCAGGAACTCAGTTCTGGGGAGGAGCTAGTGCCCCGTGTTCCCCAGTCCTGGCTCCCCTGTGGGATGGGCTCATTCTGGCTTCTTCGCAACCTCAGCCCTAGACCACAGTACTTCCCCTAGGGGATCTTTGTCCCGTCCTTCTCTGAGGGAGGCAAGTGGGGGCCAAGGCTCAGTCTTGTGGGGGGGGGGAGGATCTTTAACACCTGAGAGATGTATGAGTGGGCTGAGGGAGGAGTCTTAAATGTCGGGGTAGTCTAGTATATGCCTGGAACATAATAAATACTTAAGAAATGCTTTTTCTTCCTTCCTTCTTTTCTTCCCTCCTTTCCCTCTTTTTCTCTCTTTCCTTTCCTTTCCTCCCTCTCTTCTTCCTTCCTTCCTTCTTTTCTTTCCTCCCTCCCTTCCTTCCTCCCTCCTTTTCTTCTCTCCCTCCCTTTCTTCTCTCCCTCCCTCCCTCCCTCTCTCCCTCCCTCTCTCCCTCCTTCTCTCCCTCCTTTTCTTCCCTCCCTCCTTCCCTTCCTTCCTTCCTTCCTTCCTTCCTTCCTTCCTTCCTTCCTTCCTTCTCTTCTTTCCTGCCATCAGAATCTGCCTATTGGATCTGCAATATCATTGTCCAGATGTAGTGGAAAGAGCCTTGGGGTCAGGAATGCTAGGCTCTAACTCTGTCTCTGCCAGGAATTAGCTGTGGGACTTGGGGCTTCACTGTCCTCGTCTGAACAATCCACGTGGACGTGATGCTCTCCAGGGCAATCCCTCTGAGTCTGCCTCCTTGGGGGGCTCTCAGCAGCCTGGAACACCCAGGAGTGGAAAGTCGGGTTTATCTTGACTTCAGGGGACAGAAGGGAAAGCGCTCCTCCTCCTCCTTCTTGGAAGAGGGTGGTAGACTACAGGGGTATAAAGGGGTGTGCATTGTCAGACATGATCAATGTGTTGGTTTGTTCAGCTTAACTATACTTTATTACAAAAAAGAATGTGGGACAGATAGGTCATTTTTTGGAATTGACAAGATTGTAAAAAATCAATAAAACTGTAAAAAACAAACAAACAAGTGGACATTGGGAAGAGTTGAGAACTCCTAGACTTGCCTTTTTTGACCACAGAGAGCTGGAATCTGGCCTCCAGGAGAAAGGGCTGCCTACGATAGAGCTTCCTTGGAAACATTCAGAAACAGCCTTTCGGCTGTGAGCCGATCGTGACTCTAGTGGGCAGAAATGGAAAGGCTGGCTTGGCCTGTTGGGAAGAGGAGAAAGCGGGGTGATGTGTCCCCAGCCCTGCCTAAGGCTAGGGAGTCCTGGCCTGGCTGGCTAATGGGACAGGTCTAGACCAACGTCTAGTTACGCCTGTTGGCAGTTTCCCGGAGCAGGTGGAGGTGGTTCATGGAGGCCTCCCTTGGTGGCAGGCCCTTGGAGGTTGGATTCAGTGACCCATAAGGTCCCTTACGCCCTTGATCTCCCATGATCCTCAGTGGGAGAGCTCCTGGGGGTGATATGACGGAGGCTGAAAGGCCCCCTCACCCAGAATCCTCTCTTCTCCAGTAATGTCCTTTCAAGAAAAATCCCTTCTTTGGGTTAAGGCGCAGTCAGCTCTGGGATTCGCCCTTTTAAAACACAAATGGACGTAGGAGGGACTTGGGAAGAGCAGCCCATTGAGCTATTAGCTGGTTCTCTATTTGCACCCTTCATCCCTAAATCGATGACAGTTTACTGCTCCAGCTTCTAGGCTCAGGCTGGTCAGAAGTTGTAGTTGAGTCTTGCTGGACACAGCAGAGGACAGTGTGACTGAAGGATAGGTTTTTCATCCCCATCTGCCAAGCATTTTTGGACATTCCCACTGTTCCAGGTACCAAGTGGCTAGACCAGAAAGGCGGGGCTACCACCTCCAGAAGACTCAGGTTAAAACGCATTTTGCCTGCTGCTTTCTCCCAAAGGGCATGGGGCGAATGAGATCAGATGAGCCTCGCCGTCATTTTAGGCTGCTTCTCTAAGGGGACTGTGGCAGGGAAGGACCAGGAGGGAAGGACCAAAGCCAGGCCAGTGGGGTTCTGGGAATGAGAGCCGGGAAGGGCGAAGGGAGGCAGTGCCACGCTTGGGGAAGCTGGGGCTGAGGGCCGCCTGAAGACACAGCCTCCACTTCACAATGCTGTCCAGGGCTGGGCTCCGCTTGGAAGGAGGGGAGAGCTTATGTGAGACCTGAGGATAGCTTGAACCCGTCCTCTGAGGAGCCAGACACCAGCCGGATGAGACAAGAAGACCCACGATGCCTCATGGGTGTTCTGGAGAGCTGCCTGTGGTTAGTCCCTGTAACAGTGGAGTGTAAGCTCCCTGAAGGCAGGGACTGTGCTGGTTTTGTCTTTGTACCCCCAGCTTGGAGCACAGTGCCTGGTATGCATAGGTGCTGCATGCATGTTCCTAGAATGAACGAACGAACGAATGAATGAATGAATGCAGATCCCAGAGCCTCTAGCCAGAGGGGAATTCCCAACCACAGGGAGGAGAGGATGGGTGCAAACACAGTGTGACAGTGGTGTTGGGGGTGCGGAGCGGCACGCACCAGGCCCAGGAACGGCTCTCCTGCCTGGGGGCTGCCCCGACTTCTCAGGAAGTGGCCACGGCCGGCTGCATCTCCATGGCGACCGTGTTAGGCGTGTCCCCGCTCTCCTTCAGCTCGGCTCCGTCTCGGAGGGCCCTCTGGAAAACCACACGGAGGGGTTCCCAGAATCTCTGCTTCTTGTCCCTCCCCACCAGGAAGTAGACGACAGGCTTGGCGCTGCTGTTCACGCAGATGAATGCGTCGGTGACGTACTCAGGGAAGGGTGCCGGGATCTCGAAGACCCAAAAGAGGAACCAGTCGATGCCTAAGTAGATGGAAGAGACGAGGAAGACGGAAACCATGGCCAGGATGACGTTGTTGAGTTTGGACGACTGGTGGCGGCGGCTGGCCCTGCACTCCACCTTCACCAGGAGGACCAGACAGGCCAGGACCATGAGGGGGGCAAGGATGAGGAAGAGTAGAATGCCCAGGAAGATGTCCATGTGGGTGCAGCCTCCCCACGAGGGCCCGGGGGCGATGTACACGCAGAAGTAGGTGTGGATGGTGGTGATCAGGAAGGCCAGAGCCCAGAGCAGGGCGCTCACCAGGGCAGACATGCGCTTGGGCCGCCGGTAGCAGTACCAGGTGGGGAAGAGGACAGAGAGACAGCGCTCGGTGCTCACAGCCGGCAGAAGGCTGACGCTGGTGAGGAAGGCGGCCAGGCTCAGGATCCTCGACACGAAGCGGATGTAGGTGGGAAAGGCGCCGGGAAAGGCCCCTGCCTGCATCACGGAGAGCACCGCCTTGCAGAAGAGGTAGCCGATGTCAGCCACGGCCAGGTGGAGGAAGTAAATGGAGAAGGGGTTCCTCTTAATGGAGAAGCCGAAAAACCAGAGGACCACCCCGTTCCCCACCAGCCCACACAGGCAGATGAGCAGAAAAATGTAGCTCATGATGACTGGCGGCGGGTAGGGCTCGATCTGCTGCATTGTCAAGAAGCCTCGACTGTAGAGTTCTGGGGCTTCACTGGCCCCAGGGCACACCTGTGGGCAGAGAAGGAGACCCGCATTAACCTCCTGGTCCTGGCGTCCTTGCCTCCCTCGCCCCGGCGCCTGGAGCCATCTCCGTTTGGTGAACGAAGGCAGAGTTCTAACATGGAGGAAGGAGTCCCCAAATGAGCTGAGGTATATCAAGCATGGGGCACTACAGAAATGTCGGTGATGATGACGACGGAGGCTGTGTTGACTTGGCGCCTTTGCTCAGAGGCAGGGGGAGGAGGAGAAACACGTCGACCAGATGAGTTCAGAGTTCAGAAGTGGAAAGAGTTTTCTCAACCCCTGTGTTTGTCCTAACTGACCTGAGGTGCTGGGGCCTGGTCACCTAGAATCCAGCTCCACTTAATCCAGCATTCCCCCTAAGCTCCTAGGGCCCCTTTGAATCAGCCTGCGGGCTGCGACCACATGCCAGTGAGAAGTAACAGTGGCTAGAGTATTGACCCCACTTTCGGGAAGACCTGAATTCAAAACCCACCTCTGATATTTACTAACTGTGTGACCTCAGCCAAGTCACTTAACTTTTCTATGCCTCAGTTTCCTCATCTGTAAAAGAAGGGGTCTGGGCCGGTCTCTGTGAGTCCACGTGAAGTTTAACTTCTCAGTCCAAGATGTGGGGCTGTAGCATAGGTGTGCCTGGAAGAGCCTGCCTGGGTACGATGGGGAAGTGAAGCAACAGAGCACAGCCAAGCCTAGAACAGGGGTGGCCCAGAGCAAACATCTCCTTGGATATTCCCCTTCCCTCAGGGGATGTAAGCTGCCCTTCAGGCATGCCTGTGAGAGTAAGTGTGTCCTTAGTGGTTTGTACGTGATTAATGATGTTCTTAGGAAATGGCTAACCACTCCAGTATCTTTGCCAAGAAATGGCGCCGAGAAGAGTCGGACACTATGGAAACCGACTGACCGGCAACAGCAATTCTGACCTCAGTTAATTTCTTTGTCTCTGTCTTTGAGATCCCAGCCTGGGCTCTCACAACCTCCGCATCTGTCTCTATGGCTCTAATTTCTCACCTTTCTATTTCTCTGTTAATTGACTCGGAGTCTTGGCATTGGATCTCAAGGAGCCAAACCCACCGCTAAAATGCTGGGGTCTTGTCCTCCGAACCCACCAAGGACGCGGGGAGGGAGAGCCATAGAAGCAGATGCCAGCAGGTCGGGTCTCTGAGTCTTTGCCCCCTCCTGCTAGCCCCTTCCCCTTTTTGGCCGCAGGGAGATCCACGACCTCGTTTGATTTGACTGTCTAACAGCACTCGTCATTGGATTACTTATCTTCCTGCCTCACCCCGATCCTGTGTGCCACCAAATCTCAGTGGGTCTGATGCCCCTTTTTGGGTGTGAGAGACTCATATAGGGTTTAAAATGCTGTTGGTGTGTGATGGAGAGATCCCTGGACTTGCTGCCCAAAGACCTGGGTCTGAGTCCTAACATTGTCATTGAGTAACTCTTTGCCTTGGACAAGTCACTTGACATCTGTGACCCTCAGTTTCTTTTTTCTTTCTTTTTTTTTTTTGGCCAAGGCAATTGGGGTTAAGTGACTTGCCCAGGGTCACACAGCTAGTAAGTGGCAAGTATCTGGTCTGAGATGGGATTTGAACTCAGGTCCTCCTGACTTCAGGGCCAGTGCTCATGACCCTCAGTTTCACCAGCTGAAGAGTAAGGATAATAATGCTTGTGAGGATCAAAGGACACCGTATCTATAATGTGCTATGGAAAGCTTAGGATGCCGGGTGTTCTAAGAAAGGCAGTATATCATGGATGGGGAGTCAGGAGGGCCTAGGGTTCAAACCTTGGATCTTCCACTGTGTGACTCTGGGCCAATCAACTCGAGCCTCAGTTTCTTCATCTATAAAATGGGCACATGAGGACGTATATTAACCACCTCAAAGAACTATTGTGAGGGTCAGACAAAAATACAAACTCCTCAGCTTAGCATTTAAGGCCTTCTACGATCTCCTGGGCAGCTACGTGGCACTACAGTGGTGCTACGTGGCGCTACAGTGGTCTGAAGTCAGGAAGCCCTAAGTTCAATTCCAGCCTTAGACACTTATTAGCTGTGTGACACTGGGCAAGTCACTTCACCCTGTTTGCCTCAGTTTCTTCATCTGTAAAATGAGCTGGAGAAGGAAATGGCCAGCCACTCCAGTATCTCTGCCAAGAAAACTCCAAAGTGGGGTCAGGGAGAGTCAGACATGAGTGAAATGACTGAATAACAACACAATCTCTTCCCGTCATTATTTCATACTACTTTGTACTATCCCTTAGAGTATTGCAGCCAAACTGGATGCTGCCTGTTCTCCACACTTAACATCCCGTCTCATACCTGCATGAGTCTTCGTGCCTGGAATGCCTCATCTCTGCCTCTCAGGACTCACGTGCTCCTTCAAGGCTCAGCTCAGCTTCTCTGGAAGCCTTCCTTCCCTCTTCCACCCCCCACCCCAGACCAGTGTTTGGTACTCAACCTTTCCTTCCTCAAATTTGCTTGTATTTGCCAATCGGTCTATGTACTGTAGCTCTCCCCTCTCCCCACAGTAAGCTACTTGAGGCCAGAGACTGTCTTCCTTTCATATCTTTGAATCTCCAGTACCTAGGACAGTGCCTGGGACTTGAAAATGTTGAGGTCTGGCCTCGTTACTGCATTGATGCAGTTTGTAGGGAATTTCCTGTGAGGGTCTCCCTCTAGAGATACAGATCTTCCCTTCTCTGCAACTGAGAGCATTGGAGGGTTGGGTGAGCCACTGAAGTTTAAATGATTTGCCTGGGTCACACAGCCTAAAGTGTGAGAGTCAGGAGTATAGAGTGTATATGAGTCTGGGAAACTTGCAGTTCTTTCCTTGAGAACAGAAAGAGAGAGAGAGAGGCAGGCAGAGACACAGAGACAGAGAGTCCCTAGGAGGGACTTTCACACTGACCAGTTACATACTAGTTTTTAAAATTCTTCCAAATTCTCATCCTCATCTTCTTGGGGTCTGTGATAGATGGGGTCAGCCTACATCTCCAAACCCAGCCTGTTTGCCTCAGTTTCCTCATCTGTAAGATGAGTCGGAGAAGGAAATGGCAAAACACTCCAGTATAAAAAACAAAACCAAACCAAAAAAAATGCTCCAGAATCTTTGCCAAGAAAACCTCAAATGGGGTCACAAAGAGTTGGACACAACTGAAAGGGCTGACCGACAAAAAAAACACGCATACATATATACACACATGCACATCTAAATACATTGTTGTTGTCAACAGCATCAGGGGTAATGTCTTGATTTGCATGTGAATTGGTGAGACAAAAGTCAGGACGACTATTGATGGCCAGGGATGCAGTGGATGACCTTGGCCTTTCTAAATTAAGGTCTTTCCCAACAACAACAATCTTAAATACATACATACACAACACACACACACAAATACACACATATGTATGTATTTACATAAACATACAACACACACATCTATTCATATATGTATGGATAGATGCCACCAACATAAGAAATTCGGAGAAATGTGGGAAGACTTGAATGAATCGATAATGTGAAGAAAGAATGACTTACATAGTGATATACCCAATCATGTAAATGAGAACCATCCTAAAAGGCAGCCTAATTTTGGAATTGTGTTGAAGTGACAAGCAGACCACCTCCTGTCTGCCTCCTTTGGGTAGAGAGGGGGTGACTACCAGCATACACCATTGTCATTGTTCAGTCATTTTCAGTTCTGTTCGGGGTTTTCTTGGCAGAGAGCCTGGAGTGGTTTGCCATTTCTTTCTCCGGCTCATTTTATAGATGAGAAAACTGAGGCAAACAGGGTAAAGTGACTTGCCCAGGGTCACACAGCTAGTAAGTATCTGAGGTCAGATTTGAACTCAGAAAGATGAGTCTTCCTCATGCCAGGCCCAAGCGCTCTGTGCACTTCACCACCCAACTGCCCCTGTATATACTATAAAATGCACTTGATGTGTCTTTTTCCGGTTTTGCTTAAATGCTTTCCTTTGTCACAGAGAAGTTTGACTGCTGTGGGCAGGGCAGGTGGATTAACAGGAAAGGATTTGATATAAAAACAAAAGGCAGTAACACAATGGCCGGAACCTCTCCCTCTTGGCTCTCACCACTGACCTCCCCGGCTTTCTTTAAGTCCCAACTAAACTCCTACCCTCATTAGGAAGTCTTCCTGTGGCTGGTCAGTCGTGGCCAACTCTCTGTGACCCCACCTGGGGTTTTCTTGGCAAAGAGACTGGAGTGGCTTGACATTTCCTTTTCCAGCTTATTTTACAGATGAGAAGGCCTTCCCTAACCTTTCTTCATTCCAGTGCCTTCCCTCAGTTAATTATTTCCTTGTTATCTTGTCTATGGCTTGTTTGCATGCATTTCTTAGATTGTAAGCTCCTTGAGGGCAGGGACTGACTTTTGCCTCTTTTTGTTTCCCTTGTGCTTGGTGCCCGGCACACAGTAGGTGCCTAATAAATATTTATTGAATTGACATTGAACAATAAACCTTAAAATAAAACAAAGGGGTTAGAGCTTAGGTCCTTTCTAGCCCTCAGAGTCTCTGAGCTCGTCATTTTAGGATCTAAATCCAAGTATCGGAAAGGCTGAAAAGGAGGGACCAGATAACTCCAGAACGCTGGATTTGGAGACCTGGGTGCAAATCCTCACTCTGCTACTTATCCTAATTGTTATGACCTTAAGTGACCTCCTCCCTCCGGGATTCAGTTTGCTCATCTGTAAAATGGGGGGGGGGGGGGAGATTGGAATACCTGGTCTCTCAGGGTAGCTGTCCAAATGAATTTGATAATAAAGAGAGGTGGTCTTCCTGGTCACTGATAGCTGTCATGACCCAAATGAAGGGAGGAATACCAGGCTGCCAACTCCACATCTATATGGGCTGGGTAGATAAGCATAAGACTGAGGCTAACAAAATCCTTGGTGCTGAAATAGTTGGAAGGCAGAATGTAGTATGGGGAGAGATGTCTGACGGGAAAGAGGTCACTGTTCCTGCCTAGCAGAGACGAAGAGGAAGCCTTGCTGCCAGTGACCTCCACCTGAGCTGGGTATGTGGCATCTGTGAGGGCCTTAAGTGATGGGGCTAAAATAACGTGCCCCCAAAATACACCTCCATTGACTGTTGGCACTAGAAGAGACCTACCTAGGAGGCTGGGTCGTTGGCTCTGAGAAAGGAGCTGTCAAGGATCCTTGCTCGATCTAGAGTGGAAGGGGCTTCAGCGGGGATCTAGTCAAGCCCTTCATTTTATAGGAAAGGAAACTGAGGCCCAGAGAAGTATAACGACTTGGTCTCGGTCTCAGATGCAGGAAGCATTGGAGATGAAATTTCAACTGAGATTCTTGGACTCTCATTTCATAGAGGAGAAACTGAGGCCCAGGGGAGTGAAATGACTTGGCCTATGTCCCCCAGGTGGTAGGTATTAGAAACAGGATCTGAACCCGTGTCCCCTCGCTTCAGGGCTGGGCATCCTTCCCTTGTACCATACTGCCTCCTTCCCAAGCTCACGCAGCACATCGAAGGCAGGCAAGGGTTAGAGCACCCAGAGATGCCGACAGCTCATGCCGACAATGAGGACCAAAGGAGGATGGAGACAGAGGGAACCCTTCGGTAAGAGGGGCCTGAGACCTGGCGCTGCTCAGGACAGGGGCCCTCCCTGCTACAGCTGGCAGATGCTCCCTTCCCCACACTTGCCTTATTCCTGTTCTGGGCATGGATCTCCCAAGAGCAATTCCAGGCCATCTCTGGGGAGCCGGTTGGCCGCTGGTGGGCACACTCTTCAAGGCTGACCTCTGCAGGTGACTCTCCCACACTCTGACAACCTGTCAATCACAGAAAGAAACAGCTTCATCTCAACTGGTGTTTGAATCTGGGGCAAAAGGACTGTCCTCCAAATCACTGCCATTAGTCCAAACAACCCAACCCATCCAATAAGCATTTATTAATCAACTTCTGGGTACAAGACATGGGAGATAGAAAAGAAAAAAAATCAAAGACCACCTTCTGTCCTTAAGGAACTTGCATCGTCCTGGGTTGGGATGCAACATATAAATACAAATAAATGCACAATAAATATTTGGAGAAAGGAGAGGTCACCGATAGCCAAGAGGATCCAGAAAGGCTTCCTGGAGGAGAGGGCACATAGGACTTGGATGAAACTAGGAAGGAGCAGCAACACTCTTCTCTACCCCCTGAATTCCCCTTCCTTCCTAGACCTCAGGTGCATGGCCATTAACCGCATCTCTGGGCTCAGCCGCCTTGCCTTGCCCCGGATGATGCACGGCCCAATCTTGTCACACAGACCTTTCATCTGCACACACAGAGCCACCACCCCGGCTCAGGCTTATCTCCTCTTTCCTGGCTCCTGGTAGCCTGCCGGATGGTCTCCCGGCCACGTCTCTTCCCCACCATTCAGCTGTCAGACTGACCTTCCAGGTGGGAGCATGTCATCTTCAGTGGCTCCTTGTTCCTTCCAGGATCAAATATAAGCCACCACTGAATATTTCTAGCCTTTCCTAACCTGCTCCCCCTGACGTTTCCAGTCTCCTTTCCATGTGTTCCAGTTCAGTGACGCTGGCTTTTTTGACCGGGAACGCCCTTCCTCTTCACCTCTCCCTCTTGGCTTCTTTTAAGACAGCTCAAATCCCACCTTCTAGAGGCCTTTGGAAGTCTCCTTCGCTGCTCAGTGCCTTGTCTCTGAGGTCACCTTCCATGTATCCTTTCTATAGCTTGTTTGCATGGAGTTGATGGCATGTTGTCTCCCGCATCAGACTGGGAGCTCCTTGAGGGCTGGGACTACCTTTTGCCTTTCTTTGTATCCTCAGTGCTTACCACAGTGCTTGGTGAATAGTAGGTGCCTAATAAATGCTTGTTGCTTGACTGACTCATTGTGCCCAGTGCCTTGTGGAGTGTTGGACCTGGAAAGCACCTCCAAGTCTAGCCTCTCATTTGTCAAAGGAAGTGGCTGAAACCCAGAGATGGGAGGAGACTTGCCCAAGGTCACCCAGCTTTGAGTCAGGATCTGGGCCAAGGCCAGGATTCTTTCCCCTCGTCCACACGTCCTCACTCAGCCTGTTCTGAGCGGCAGCTGGGGCCCACCCTGGGTGCCTGTTTCTCCTCTGCAGGAGTCTCCTCCTGCCTCCAGCTCATGCTGTTTCCATGAGAGATGCCACATCACATCTTCCATGACCTCAGCCTCACACACTCCCTTCTGAAGCCTTCTTTCTCTCCAGCTTTCTCCCATTGCCCGTTCCTCTTGTCCTCTCTTATCTGCTCAGCTTCGTTGCCTTCACGCTCACTACCCCCAGATCTTGGAGCCATGGTGGGAAGCGTAGAGGGGCTGGAGGCAGGGAATGTCCACTTGGCTTTGCCCTCTTTGCTTTTGCTTCTTCCCTTTCTCTCTTCTGCCCTCCCCTGCTCTCCTGCTTTCCTTGCCTTCTGGTGTTATAGATAGAGCTATGAATTTGGGGTCAGGGGATCAAAGTTCATGTCCCAGCTGACTGGCTATCAGACCTTGGGCCAATCATTTGGCTGAATGTCTCCTCTCAGGCTCTTTTCAGAGCTAACATCTGATCCTCTGCCTGCATTTTCCTACCCCCCCCCCTTTTATTCTGATGGCTTATCCCCTTCCTTGCTCAATTCCATTCCTTTCCTCTCTAAAGCCTGAATGTCCTGCCAAGATGATATCATCTGTGTGTGTATGTGTGTGTATGTGTGTGTGTGTGTGAGTGAGTGTGAGTACATGTGGAGAGGGTATGCCAGAATGGCTCTCCTGAATCCCTCTTGTGTCTCATAAATGAAGTGTGAGATTTCCTGCATGGGGAGACAAAAAAGGCATTTAGGAGGTCCGTACCAGGCACACATGGACATGCCAAGGTGGGGGTCTATGTTTGCATGTAAGTGCATATGTGCAAGTATGCTTGGATACATCAATCAGTCAGACAATAAACATTTATTAAGCAAGCACTATGTGTCAAGCACTGTAATTTATATTAGGGAGATAAATAAAAAGACAGTCCTGCCCTCAAGGACTTACAGTCTAATGGGGAAGACAATATACAAAAAGAATCTGGAAAGCAGGGGTGGAGGGGTGGGAAGAGGTTGATGGAGAAGTCCAAAGATCTCCATAAAGAGATGGCTGGTCTGGGCCCCCTTTGGAAATGGAGGTTTTGAAGTTCATGGCTCTGCCCTCCAATCAGACGGGCAGAGGATACTGGTGAGGTGTGAGTAGTACCAAGGCTGAGTGGATATGTGCACCAAAAACGCCTATTGAGCACCTCCTGAGTCCCAGGCCCTGTGTTTTGAGCTAGGGATATAAAGAAAAAATCCAACAGTCCCCGACCCCAAGGAGCAGTCTACTATGGATTGGACTATAGCATCTATCCAGGTAAATATGATACAAAATGGGCAGTGATGGTAGCAAAGGAGTGATTCAGCCTAAGCGTAGGGATGTGTGAGCAGGGAGAGATCCCCACAGCCATGTACTTTGTAGCTATGTGTTGGGAGCACGTGTCTGAGTCACCTACTGCTCCAACCTTATTTCCCACTGCTCACCAGCACACACTCTCTTCTCTACTTTTATCAGCACAGCTTCCTCATCAGCAGTCCTTCCCACCCCCACCTATCTTTGCTCATATTGTTCCTATCATGGGGAATACCTTTCTTCTTCTCTGTCTACCCCCAAATCCTGCTTATTCTTCAGGACCATGTCCTCCAGGAAGCCTTCCTTGATTGTACCAACCCTTTGTGATTTTCTTCTTGTCAATTCTTACTGTACTTGTTCCAAGAACTCGTAATTGTACTTTGTTATAGGCTGTCCTCTGTTGTTCCTCGTCTCTTTATGTGAGTTAATTTTATTTTTCCCATTAGACTCAAAGCTCTGGGAAGGCAGGAACTATGTCTTATTCTTCTCTCTATTTCCTATAATGCCTAGCATGTGCTAAGAGCTCAAACGTACTTATACGCTGTTGGGTTGTTGGGTGTGTCTTTTTGTGTGTATGTCTTCATTCCCTTCCCATCAGGGGCCTATTTATTCAGGGGCCAGAGCCCAGGGCCAAGTACTTAAAGCAAGATGGTTATGAGGCTGATAAAAACACATTGTTGGGATGCTCATCAATTGGGGAATGGTTGAACAAATTGTGACAGAGTACTGTTGTGATATAAGAAATAATGAGCAGAAAAACCTGGGATGATTTACACAAACTGATGCAAAGTGAAGCAAGCAGAACCAGGAGAACATTGTCCACAGTAATAGCAACATTGTAGCAATGATCAACTGTGAATGACAACTATTCTCAGCAATATAATGATTCAAGACAATTTCAAAGGATTTATGATGAAAAATGCTCTCCACCTCCAAAGAATTGATGGAGACTGAATATAGATTGAAGCATACTTTTTAAACTTTCTTTATTATTCTTGTTTTTTCGGTCTTCATTTTCTTTTGCAACATGGCTAAAATGGAAATGTTTTACACGACTATACATGTAGAATCTATATCAAATTGCTTGCCTTCTCAAGGAGGGGGAGAGGAAGGAGGGAAGGAGAGAATTTGGAACTCAAAATTTTAAAAAAAAAACTATGTTTAAAACATATTGTGTATGTGTAAATAAGAATTTTTAAAAAGCCACTTGTCAGAGCTCTCTGAGCCTCAGTGTGCCCACAGGTGCCAATCCTGGGGTAGGTGGAGTTGAGAACTCACAGACAGGGGAGGCCGTCACGGCTGGGAAGGATGTGGCTGCAAACCGGAGGGCAGAGGAAAGCCCAGAGTGGGGCCTGGTCTCCACCTTGTTGCTCTAAGCAGAAGTAGGATTTTGGAGCTCATATACTGGCTCCTTGTGAGGGTCCTGGGGTCACAAACCTAGAGCTGGGAGAGACTACAGAGACCAATGAGTCCAGCCTCCTCTTTTTGCAGATGAGGAAACTGAGGCCCAAGGAGGTTAAATAGGTTACCCTAGGACATACAAGGAGTAAGGGACAGACCTAGGATTTGACCCCATGGTCTCTGCTATTTACAGGTAGCTTCAGTTTCCTTATCTGTAAAATGAGAGGGGTTAGGCTGGGAGGGTGGTGTCTCCCTGTTCTAGAACTATGACAACGACTGACATTCCTAGAAGACTAAAGTCTGCAGCACATTTTATATCTGTGTAGGTGTCATTGGAGTTCTTGACCATGGGAAGTAGGGACAACAGGTGCTAGTATGTTTATTTCATTTATTTATTTATTTATTTATTTTATTTTTTTTTGGTGAGGCAATCGGGGTTAAATGACTTGCCCAGGGTCACACAGCTAGTAATTGTCAAATGTCTGAGGTCAGATTTGAATTCAGATCCTCCTGGCTCCAAGGCTGGAGCTCTATCCACTGTGCCACCTAGCTACCCCCACCCTGTTTATTTTACTAACAAGGCAACTGAGGCACAAATGGTAGAATGACTTGTCCAAGCTCGCAGAGTCAGTAAAGACGAGAGATGACATTCAAGTTAATGTGCTTGCAACTCTCTGGGTCAGCAGCTGGGCATGCTGCTCTGCCCCGTGAGCCTTCCCTGCTCTGTGAGCCGATGATTCTAGTCCAGACTCTTACATGTCCTAGGCAAGGCATTTTCACCCCATTGAGTCTCAGTGTCCTCTTCTGTACAGTGAGGATGGTAATACTTAGACTACGTGCAATTCAGGGCCATTGTGAGAAAAGTGCCTGTGAACTTTAGAGGGGGAGCTGTTATTTCTGTGTTCCTTCCCTGGGAAATGCAAACTTTGCTCCTGACCTGTGGCTGATATCAAGGAAATCACTGGCACACTTTTCCCAGCCCTCCTATCCCTAATCCTT